GGAATCCCGGCCCTGGCCAGCACCTTCCATAGCATCTCTCGGTCCACCGAATCATACGCCTTGTTCAAGTCGACGAAGCACATGTAGAGGGGTATTTTCTTTCTCCGACCCAGCTCCTGGAGGCGGCGCACGACCAACAGCGTGTCGACGGTGGATCGCCCGGGTCGGAATCCGCACTGTTCCTCCGGGAGGATGTTATTGGCCTCGCAGAAGGCGCTTCGACGGTTGTTGATGATCTCGATGGGGACCTTGCCTACGTGAGATTGTAGCGAAATCCCCCCGTAGTTGTTACAGTTGGACCGGTCACCCTTGTTGTACAGCACGTTGATGGTTGCATCCTTCCACTCTCGCGGAATATCTCCTCCGTTCCACACCTTGACGAGGATGGTATGGAGGTGTCCCAGGACGAAGGGTTCGTCGTCATCGATCTTGAGCAACTCGGCAGGGAGGGCGTCATGGCCGGGTGCCTTCCAGTTCTTGAGGCCTTTCGTTGCCCGTGCCACCTCCTCGAGTTCTGGCGCATCTCCCAACCGTTGAGTGTCACGTGTCGCCGGCCGCTGCGTCACTCGTTCGATTATGTGTGGGTTCAGGGTGGGGGATTTGGTTTTGAGTAGGGTGCTGAAGAATCTCGCCCACCGCTGGAGGATGTCGTACCTGTTCCGGAACAACACGCCGTTCTCATCCGCGACGAACTACTGTCCTCCCGCTTGTCTCCCGCTGAGGCCCACTGATCTCTTGAGGTGTTGGTACAGTCCTCGCATGTCGCGATCTTCGTAGATTTCTTCGAGTTCAGTCACATATCCGTCCAGGTGGGCATAAATGCCCGTTTCGACTGCTGTAGCCACTCCCTTACACGCTGCTTTGAAAACCCTCCACGTTGCTGAGTTCCAGTTGACCCCCATCGCCGACGTTTGGTAAGGACCTGCTCCAGCGCTGCTCGCGTCTCTGGGGTCTCACACCACTCCTGCGTGCGGCGTCTCCGCGGTTCCTCCCCCAGGGTCGTCCGCGCTGCGTCGAGGAGAGCATTGGTAAAGTCGGTCGCCAATTCCGCGGCGGTGGTTGTTCGCTCGTCCAGTC